GGTATAATAATGACTTACATTTTTTACAAAGTTGTCCATCATTAGTTCATGTTAATGTTCATGTCGTTAATAATGTGTATATCCAAATAATCAAGATAATAAACCATTTATAAGACAATCAATGAGTTTGTATACTTACAACAATTATTTAATCTTAGCTTTTTATTGTACACATCAATCAGTTATATCGGTAGTGGTCATCGTGTAGAAAGAATGAATACATAACAGGCCACCTCATTGTTAATTTGCAATGAAACTACACAACATGGCGTCCGCCCTGATGTTTATTGTCACGGGTCCCTCTGGAATGCTGTTGCGGCGTAAAGACCAACTCTACTCTTTGGTGATTATGTCGTATTATATAAGGTCGGAGCACCTGAGCTCTAACCGAAATTTGGGGTCGTCCATGTTGTGAACTCCTCACACAAGTTATCCGGCGAGATTTGAGGCGTTGTGTATTCACGAGGTAAGGTCCTTAAAGGGACTTCCGTGCGCGATAAAGCTGGAATATTGCTAAAAGCGCTATAAACCCATTTTGTTCACTGCATTCGCATTCTTCACAGTCAGTAACTTGTAAAATTCAATTGGTTCAGTCACACTCGTTGAAGACCGTGAAGGTGTTATACATATTCGAACAGAACACACACACACACACACACACAGAGATCATATATCTACATATTATATGGATACATGCTGTCCATTATATAATTGATGGAGTGTAATATAGTTATTTATTCCTATATGATGTCGCTATGAACCATTCCGAGGTTGAACATGTACAACGCGGATATTATTTAGTGTCAGCCATGTCGTCTGTCGAGTCCCTAATATGCGTAGAGCGCGCAGCGAGTCCCTCATTTGAGTTTTCTAACGAAGATTAGTGCTCCACAATAAGAACTCTTCCACAAGTTCTTCCAACGAGGTTTGAGACGATGTGTATACCCGTTCTTCACCCTTGTCGCGTTTAAAGTCCTGAATTAATTCGAAATATTCACTTCTCAGAAGACGTTGATAAGTTTCGAATTCTTGAATAGCACGTTCTTCCGTCTTCCTCTCTGAGCACACTTCCACGGGAGTATCGATGAAAAAGACATGGGTACACACCCATTCTGGATATTGTTGGATACTTTCCTTAACTTTGGTAATAAGAAACGCAGTGCTCCAGTTCGATAGTTTTCCCGTTGACTGCAGAGTTTTTATAAACGGGATACGGGAATGTAATCCCCCTCTCCATGATGACAAGAGAATATGTCGAGAGGGAACTGTTGAAGGTTTTGTAATGTTTTATATAAGGGTCAATAACGTGGAATTGAAAGGATACTGCACCGTTTCCCGAATAAAATTCGTCTAAAGGGTTCAATTGGTGTGCGGCAAAATCAGTAAATTCTGTAAAATATTCCAACGGTTCGGACACAGACAATGCGCTTTCGTTGTACATTGTAGTTTCGTCCAAGCGCTGAAGCAGCGTAGATTTCCCGCACGAAATTATTCCTTCCACAGCAATTCGAATTTGAGGATAAGCCATTACTACGGCGGTCAGGGTGCGTCGGTTTCGATAAAAGAAATGAGGCGTGATCTGTTCTTCCTCCATATATTTAAATGATAACCGCGTCCGGTGGTTTGGGCGGTAGAAGCGGTATATAACGCTTGGACCTAGGTGGAATGGGTGCAGCGGGCCACGACACGGCACTCCCATTAGTAAATTCAGCAATCTGTAATGCTACTTCTACTTAGCCTTAAAGTTGATATAAGAGACATATTTACTATTACAGATAATGAATATATGTGCATTAAGGAATGGCTTTTATTGAAAGATCACAATGACTGGATCAACGGCTTATGGAATGATCATAATAATCCAAATGGCAACAAATTACGATTTTACAGGCTATTCAAGTATACCTTATCACCTGAACTCTATGTCAAATCTACTCTTAATCGTTCACAACGAAGTATTCTCAGCAAACTACGATGTGGCTCCTTACCACTGGAAGTAGAAGTCGGACGCTTCACACGACCTGTAACACCACTGAAAGATCGCATATGCAAACTGTGCAGCAGTAGCTCCGTGGAAGATGAGGTGCATTTTCTTGTTGAGTGCAGCATTTATAATGAGATCAGAACTGAGCTCTTTGATAAGATATATATACATGATAACACTTTCAGTAACTTATCACAAGTGGATAAAGCTGCATATCTAATGTCAAATGAACATCATATAAAATCCATAGCCGCAACAGTGTCGAAAATGTTTTTATTTAGACAAAACCTTAGACATACATAGCATAATGGGCCATTATTTTACTACAGTATGTCATGTTACATTTTAAAATATTATTTTATGTATGATGTATTTTATGCTCTAAGTGTCTCATAGGCCAGTCTGGCCGGACACATAATTATGTGTGTGACACTATAATAAAATAATTTTCTTCTTCTTCTTCTTCTGTAATGAGGAAGAAGAAAGTGGTGTTTAGCTCGTTATGTTTATGTTATGTTACGATAAGTAATCGATGTGTTCATACGCACGCACACACACACAAACACACACACACACAATGGAGATCATTAACGTGTAACAATATCGTAGTATTTTTCTTCAACACATTTAGACAGATGCTATGCACTTTACAACAATATTTAGTTTCTTACTCACCAAAAATCCACCTAGTCTCCGCGAAATGCTCCTCCCTGCGAGACTCTTCGTCAATGCACTGTCTCATGTCAATGAGGATATCTCGTTCACTGGAATACGATACAATATTATTAGAAGTCGCATTCAGCAAAATTAGTTTCGTGGACTGTATATCAGATGATTACAAGTTTATCTCTGCGCGATAACAATAAATAGCGACTAGAACCTTGAGATCTTTGCAGAAACAACAAGACTCTTTTGTAGGAATGGTACAAATACGGTGGAATAATAATATATAATAATAATTATATAGTATAATATAATGATAATAATAATAATAAGCATGATAAATATGCGGACCTCGCCTTTGAAATGTCTCGCTTGCATCCCAAGTACACTGTCGCCAGGCTCCCCATTGTTCTCGGTGCCCTTGGTTTAGTACCTCAGTAGTATAAAAGTAATCCGTTCAGCACAGACAATAGCATTCCTAAGAGAACAAAGACATTCCAGACGAATACAATAGCATTCCTGACGAATACAATAGACATTCCAGAGGTGCAATCCTCAAAAATCCTCCATATGTTGAGGATTCAACCTTATATAACAGACATTCCAGAGGATTCATCCAGAAAGTATTCAAACTATTTAACCTTCAAGAATTTCAGTCATACAATAGCATTCCACAAGTTTCTCCAACGAATACAATAGCATTCCACAAGAATGACTCTTAACGCTCTTGAAACTAGACAAACTATTTAACCACAACATTCCACAAAGCTCATTAACGCAAAGTATGTCAACTATTTAACGATAGCATTACACAGATACATCCTGAATCAACTGAAACCGTTCAAACGATATGCGGTGAACAACCAAGTTATACATTAACCTTTGAACAGCGATCCGGTAGTATCGTAAGCGTTCTATATACACGTGTGTTTCACAGCTCTCACTAGTAACAAAAACACGCCAACAAGTTTGTTAGCTTATAAGTAAATCTGTTTGTAATCTTCTGTCAATATTCAGATAGAAGCTAAAGGTTAACATTATGAAACATGTTCCTACACGCTCTCAAAAGTGAACGGCAAAAACGCAGACAGAGACGAGGTTACACATTTGGTTTGCTGTCACATTGACTTCGCAGTTGCTTTTGAGCGAATATTTCCGGTTTTATGCTCTATGTCATGACATTGTAATGTATCAATAACATAGCACCATAGCAAGTGTCATCACCTTTAAGTGCGCTCACAAACTCTGTCCACGCACGTAAGACATGTTACTCAAAGGAACACAATAAATGAATGAACTTACCTAAAGTCGAACATAACAAGGTTTGCATATGCAGCGTGCTATTGTCTTCAGTGAGGCGATGTTCATTTTTTTCAGAATTGCAAGTGTTAGCACTTCCACTTGCACCACACAATTAGTTTTCTGACTCTGTCGCACTCCACTTGATTGAATCACTTTCTTGCACCTTTTCTCTTTGTTTCCCTTCTTCGATTTCTTTATCGCTCTTCTTCTTTGTCTTATTGCTTTTTGTCTTATTGCCTTTTGTTGTGTCCTGAAATTGTCACAGTAGTCCTTTATGATGGTTTGGTTTTCTAAAATATTTATTTGTTTGTCCGTTAAAATTGGAACAACAGTTGGGGAAAATGACTGATTTACTTTCATTAAGCACAGGGCTTTCAGGAAATTCTCCATAGCACAACCAGTAAACTCTATCCAAATGTACAGAATATTAACACACACTCGCATCACCTTCGATACGGTATTTACCAAAAACCAGCGTTCTATTGAAAATATCTCAATCTAATTTGTGGTTCATGGGTGGAGAGGGCACGTCTTCGCAAAAAAGAATGTTACCTATGTTAACAAAGTGTGACCTCTGTCCATCACGAAGGCTTTGATATCTGTCATGTCAGCAACATTTGATATTGCTTATGTGAATGTACATAACGTTTTGAAAACGTAGTCATTTTCCTTTTGTCTTGCGAGAATACGCCCCTCCATGACTTGTGGTTTCTGTTGAAATCTATCTCACGATTCTCGTTTTTCAAAGATGAGACGGTACGATATATATATAAGATGTTATAACATCAGATTGATCAAACGGTATGGCTTATCTGGGTATTTCACCTTCTGTTTCGGGACATGATTTCACCGTTGTTAAAGCAAGTCATAGTATATCTTTTTGTTCTACGCATCTTTCGTTTGAAAATTTGAGAGATACGTTTGGATTTATTTTCTCAAAACTTGTGTCACATCAAAATTATAATTATCCTTTTTCGTTGTACGAGACAATTCAATTCTGCCCTTTACAAAATTGTTCTGTGACTCTAAATGTAAATATATTAAACTGGGAAATCGAAATTTCAGATGAAAATTTTACTAGAATTTATTTGACACCGAATGAATTTAAAGGTATCTACTTAGGTTTGCTACAATTTCAATTCGACCAAAGCGTTCAATACATTTTGAATGCTTAGAGGTAAGTACACTTTTAGCAAATGTTCCTCTTGTCACGTAAATATGTTATCTGCGAAAGTAAGTTATCTATGTCCGATGTTGGTGAACTATATGTCATAGATATATTGAACTCACTGTATCGCTAGTTATTTGCGTTTATCGCATGAACTAGGTTGCTGAAGTGTACATTACATAGATATATTGAACTCACTGTATCGCTAGTTATTTGTGTCTGAAATTAAGCTTAAGTTACTGTTGTATGAACTAGATACTCTTATTTAATCATCATGAAAAAAAACCAACTTTGTGTAACATTCATATTTTAGTTTGGATTGTGTGTCATACACCTACAGCTTGCTACCCGATGCTGAATCCAGCAGTCACAGGGTTAGGTTGGCTAGCGGGTCTTTTAAGGTTGTTTCGCACCAGTTGACGGGCGTGCCCTTTAACTTCAGCTAGGTATCTGATTCGGAACCCAGCTGTCGCAGGGTTCGGTCGGCTAGCGTACCCTTTAAGGATGTCTCACACCAATTGACCAGTGGGCCCCATTTAAACAGTAGGCGGTCTGCCTCACACCAGTCGTGTGACCCCTTTAAGTATTATTTAGTCTATCTCACTACCGTCGCGCGAGCCCTTTAACCAGTCTCACATCCACCACACCCTCCCAAACCATAGTATTTTTTCCCAACTACCAAGTCTTTACTAGAATGCTAAAGCCTTTCAATTGAAGCAAGTCTACATTTCCCGCCGCCTCCCTGACGCTACAAGAGTGACAGCAGTGATACTGTCTACTGCCCCCGGTTGGTGCCTGTCTCAGCAAAAAAGTCACTCAGATGTCATGAGCACCTGACATTTCCGATCTTAGGTCACGTTAGGTACGTGCTTCGCACGATAATGTGAACGTGTCTTAATTGTTATTGGTTGAAATCATTTGTGCGAATGTGTATGAATTACTATTGGGTGAAATGATGTTTACGAAACGTGCATTAATTGTCATTGGTCAACACTCATTTAGGAATAATATATAAAAAAGCGTAGTGAATTCGTAATCACCACAGTTTACCAACCATGATCGCCTTAGCGCTACTCCTCAGTCTTCTCACTACGGGGGCAAGCAGTATTTCGCTATTTAGCAAAATGTGCGAACCAGTCGCACATTTGCTGAGGTGCAGACCTGTGGGTGGTCGTGTATTAGAACATACGAGAGGAGCGACATATGCTTACATCACTACAATTCATCTTCATGGCATCACAGACCGTCTCAAAATTGACGTAAAAAAATTCCCGCAACTAGAAGTAAGTGTTATTTTATATCTTCATTGTCATGTGTTGTCGTAATTATTCTAAAGTTTATACGTATAGTATTTTGTTTGCAAGCTGCTTTAAACATTGGAGTTTTATACACCTTGGTCATAACATGAGAATTGAACGTTATCAATAATAACCAATAGTAATTAATTGATATCTCTTTACAGAAAATTATTGGAGGAGAACCGTCATGTGATGGTTTGATAGGCGATGTAAAGACCGTCATTGCTGTCAATGAAAAACAATGCATCGGTGAGTATTTATTTATATATTCATTTACACGGTATAACACGGTTTTATTTCTAACTAGACTTTTATTTTCTCAAAGTTTGAGAGTTTTAGTTTCTGTCACTTTGTGTCTGTCTTCCTGCTTTACGCTACTGGTCTGTAAATAATTGTGTCCATTGTCACAATTCATGATGATCAACAGCATGAGCACCAGGCTGTGCATTTAGGAATCGATCACATACATCAACCAAGACAGTGAGCATAAAGTTCAACTTATATTTCTTAACAATGTTTAGTTATGCTTGAAACTAATTTGTTCGATTATTGACTGTAATCTTGTTACCATTTCCAGTCCAGACGACTTCACCAGTCTCAACCACCATGCTCTCTCCATCACCTGCTACCTTCCTTGCAACATCCTCTACCCCTCCTTTAACATCTACTGCTATACCTATTCCAACACATACTACCTTTCCTGCAACACCCACTACTCTGCCTGCTACCCTTCCACCAACGGACACTACCTTTTTTTCCTGTAACGTCTACTAGTTTTCCTATAGTATCCTCTCCATCACTCACTACCTTTCCTTCAGCACCCATAACACCCCCACCGACACACTCTACTCTTTTTTCAAAACCTACTACCATCTCTCCAGCATTCACCTTCTCCACATCGGCTCAAACATCCACCCACAGCATTTCTACAGGTATTATTTTAGGCGTTATATTTGCGAGTGTTAGTTTAATCGTTATTTTAACCATTCTTGTTTGTGTTTATAAGAAATGGTGTAAATTCCAAATTAGTGATCGGAATATAAAAAAAATGGAATTCTTTTTAAACGGTTGGAAAGGAAACATAAAGAATCAACAAATATTGAAATGAAAATGTACGAGGAGGAAGAAATATGATTTTTTTATTTTTTTTCGTACACCTATTCCTTTCACCCACCCTGCACAGGTCCCTTCGAGAGACGCAGACGAGTCGAGGATGATGATTATGATCTGGAAAATGTTGACGGTTACGACGGTGGCATCAACCTTGGTAAGTACCAGTGAGCATCATAACTCATAAGCACATGCGAGCGCCTTTAACGTGGTGTGAATGTACATACTGAACCAACTTGCTACATATTGAGCTTTTTGTATTTGAGTGAGTTAAATTTTACGTCGCACTGGTCAATATTCCAGCTATATGGTAACCGTCTGTAAGGTAATCCAGTGACCAACAGCATGAACATCGATTATGCAATAACCGATCACATGTGTCAACCATGTGAGCGTACCTGACCACCCGATTCCGTTTAGTCTCGTCTTACAACAAGCTAAGTTACATCAAGCATCTGTTGTCGAAGCCTATTCTACCCTAGACCTTCACATGTCTTTGTATGTGTATCCTCAGATATTCACAGTTGAGTTTATCTGTATTATATTTATTTCAGCCCACATGGTTACTGCACTGCTGGTGCTGGTGGTTCTAGTAATACTCCTCGTGGTAGGTGTGACGATGAGACATCGTATCCTCAGACAAATTAACAGGATCCGTTGTTATCTACGCATCCGACGCCTCAGACATCAACTTCGCAGTTCACAACGTCGAGTCACTCAGGAGGAAGACATCACACCCACTTCATCACATCATGCCTCTCCGTCTCGTCAGATCTCTGACTCTGCCCATCGTGATCTCTCTCTTCACTCTGCTGAGCCATCATCTCACACAGACGTTGTTAACCATTTACGTGACGTTGTAGAGTCGGTTCGTAGGCTGAGACTACAGCGCAAGATGCAGCGAAAGAGCTCAAGCAATGTATAACCTTGACAGTTTGCGTACATGGTAGATGTGATGCCAGTACAGACAGTGTCTTTGTTAACATGTGTTGTTCATCCTGACAATTTTGTTCATCATTACAGTTCATATAATTTCACATATGACGGTGTGTAACCTGATGTGATAACCTTGACAGTTTGCATACATGGTTAAGATGTGATACCAGTACAGACAGTTGTCAGTAGTTGTTTTTAAAAATAAACAGATTGTGTTAATGTGGTGAGTTTATATGTCTCCATAGGCTCTTACAGGATTTATTGTACAAGGTTCATGTTATGAGTTGATATTGGAGATTACACAACACCATTGAGTCTGGAGCAGACAATCTAGTGATCAACCGCATGAGCATCAATCTGCACAGTTGGATGATGATGACATGTGTCAACCAAGTCATCCGATCTCATTTGTCTCCTCTTACGACAAGCTAAGCACCTATTCTACCTCAACCATAAGCATCCATGTCTACATTCGCGATCTTGTTGGTTCACAGACGAAAGAAAATGTATATATCAAAAGATTTTTTATTCACAATTACACAAGTGGGAGTTGCATACACTCGCGTCATGTACTGCTCGGACAGTATCGTCTGGGTGAACCGTCTGGTTGCCACTCTGTAGGTTTTCCATTATCTCACTCGCGTGCACGGACAGCAGTAGCAGACGCTGCAATACGGAAAATGTAAATATAACATCCACCTAAGGGAAATACACAATGCAAGTTCACCATCTATGTACTTCAGTCTATATACTCACTGGAAATGCGTCGTCTCACTCTCATTAAGATCTTTCCCAATAAATTGTCACCACGCCAGTTTAATTCATTCCTAATCCTAGAATCTGATAGAGAGAGTCCAACTCCCCATAATCTATCGTATGGGGATGCCTCTACTAACACCTTAGGGTATGTGTTCAACAACAGAGACTTCAGTTCTTCAGACTGAGTGAATTTGGCATAATTAGCTTTTTCCACCACTTGTGCACTTATCTTATGCCAGATGGTGCGATTAAAGTTCTTCACACGTTTACCTAAATGTTTCTGTTCGGATGGAGATGATGAATTCAAAATACACTCAGCAATAAATGAATCTCCAAAAGTCAAAGCTTTTCGATACATGTAATACTGTTCTGCACAATTAAAGGTTTTCCCATCCACTTCCATCTTTACAAGATAGTGTTGACTGAAATGACTCTTTCTCGAATAGAAGTACACACAGCGTTCATCTTCAACAGTTCCCATATTGCTGATTAAAAACTCACCGCGTGAATAGGGCGTTGGTCTGTTTACCCGGCTTGGTCCTGAATATGGTGGTGGTGGTGGTAGCATCATGGCACCCGCTTGGTTCATGGGTGTTGGAGACGTTGGACGTCTAGTCTGTGGAATTGGAGCCAGTGGTGGGCGACTGCATGCGTCGTCGACGGGAACCTGTCTTGGAGGCTGAGACGATGCACTGGTTAGTGGATCAACCGCAAGCGGAAGTACTATGTCCATCTCAGGGATGTCATCAGGCAGGTGGTGCTGCAGTTCAAATTCTTCGACTTTAGTGGTATAGTCTTTTGCCAACCCCATGAGCAGCTTGAACACCTCGGAGGTCATTGATATCGATTTCTTCACCCCTCTGCTGTTCCAATTGGTTAGGTGTGTATAAACAACACCGTTGAAGTAGTTCACTGAGAGGTAATGTCCCTCTGCAAACTGGTATGTGTTGCTGTCGGCCATCGTGAACGCTCAAGATTGGTGGAAGCAATGATCTGGTCTTTACGACTCATATTTATATCGACTCTGTTTAATTGCATGATGAGCAGATCGTGAGAAATGTTGCTTTTCCCACGCCATCTCAACCATTGAAATCAAGCTCTTGTGTCAAAGAATGACAAAACATTTCGCGGTGTCATCCATACTTTGGAAATTCTATTCAAATGTAGACAAAGAAGGTCTTATTTCAGGACTCCTCTTACTGTGCACCATGTTCAGTTCTCACGCTAACCTATCCTTTGAAATCAAAGCTTGTACCAATCATCTTTGGTACTCACTGTGTTCACAAAGAGAGTTTCTTAATCCAAGTTTCATGATAGGTACAATGCGACTTGTTTGACCACACCCATGATAATTTTATATGGTTCTTGTGAACATTGTTGTCATACAAAATAATTGTGCCCCACCTATCATTTGACACGGAATGGCATAGCAATATAAAATACCAACGCCTTCATTCCTGACACACCCATGTACCAAAAGACATCCTGGTACCTATTCATGTTACACCCCCATCTATCATTTCTTTTCTGTTCAATGCTGTCACGTTGCGATCTACGGAATGTGCTGACTCAGTCCATCTTTTTCAGTTCAATGTTGTCACGTTGCGATCCATGGAATGTGCTGACTCTCTCCATCTTTTTAGAATTCTATTTAAAATGTAGACAAATAAAATCCGACTCGGAAGGAGTTTCTCACGATACTGCAATGATATGACACTTTACAGAACTCATGATCTCTTACAGACATCGTTAGTACTTAGTGAAAAGAACCATGATATTGCAAAATATTTCATCTATAAAAGAGTGGGCTTTCCTGTCGATCACTCACAGGACATCAGACAAGCATACACATTTGTGAAGCAGTCTAGACTTGTCACACCAAGGATTCATCCGTTCCTGCAAACAACAGAAAGGTAAGCATTTTTATTAAAAAGGTTTGTCTGTGTAGTGTTTAAGTATCAGCTTGTGTTGCATGTGCTATCATCAGTTAATTGCAATGATAATTCTATAACATTCGACATTACCTTGATCGTTTATAGGTAGAGTAAGACAAACATTGTGCCCAATATAAATGTGCATTATGCTGAGCTATGAGACTTTTTATTGGTTTTCCTCTCTCTCTACAGATCTTCAAGGGGTGTAACTTAGTCATTGATGAATAGCCAATGGTTGTACACATCGTTGTTAGCCTAACAGTAGCCAGCCATGAGTAATTTGAACAACTGCCCGGTGTTTGTTTGTGATCATTGTTCACAAACCTTTGGTCTTAAACATAATTTATTACGTCACCAAAGACATTGTGGTAGAGAAGACACTTTATATTCTTGTCCATTGTGTCAGAAGACTTTCAACGAAAAGATAATTTGAATAGGCATGCCAAATCCTGTCGACAAAAAGTGACCTATCGCCATCAATGTTCGCATTGTTTTCTAAATGATACTGATTATCAAAACCATCATTGCGTACCAAAGAGATCTCCTGCTCATACCTGTCCAACGTGTCACCAATCCTTTCCCACCTCAAAGGCTTTGCGTATGCACAAAAGTCAATCAGGTCATGATATGATAGGACATGGTAAAGGCAGAGCTAAGAATGCTAAAACGGCTACAGTGTCAGTACCACCACCACCTGATTCCCCTCCTGCTATCTCACCTTCCCCTGCACCCACTTCCCACCCATCTCAGAAGAAGACAAAAAGACGATGTTTCCAAACCATGTTCTAGTCAGGCTTTACATGGTGACGTGAGGGAGTATGATTTTGAAGGACAAACGTCTACTGACGCATTAGAATTTCTAGTCCGAGAACAGAGTAATGTCATTTCAACCCTTGAATCAGAAATAGGTGAGAAAAAGACAATTAAATGGGCTTTATGTTTACATTTTAAAATGGAGAAACCAAGCGAAGATGCTCATTCAAATTATCATGCGGCCTACTTTAGAAGCAGCATGCAGATAGCCCTGGAAGGGAGTGATTTGATTGAACAATATTTGGGTGCCATGAACAAAATGTTGCAAACACTAGACGAATATGAAGGGGTTCATTCAGGATTAAATGTTTCTGACATTGTCCTTTTGAAACTGACTGTGGTGAAGTTCGCTCCATTGAACGGTGGTACTTACATTCCACTTCCTCCAGCCCTGGCTAAACATGCACGCTGTATTTTAAATATTCAAAACAAAGACAATGATTTATGTTTTGCTCTCTCCATTCTTGCCAAATTGTACCCAGCCGTGTCAAACAAGGAAAGAGAAACACATTACCTCCCCTATTTGAATAGGCTTAATTTAGAAGGGTTTTCTTTTCCTATGACATTGAAACACATTCCTCGTTTTGAACAGCTTAACCAGTTGAGCATCAATGTGTACGGTTTTGAAGATGGCACCTTGTACCCCATGTACATCAGTAATGAGTCGAACGTGGAGGAAAATAGGTGTGTAGATTTATTGTTATTGTCACAAGAAAGTCAACCAGATGATTTTGAGGGAGTCTTGGGGTTAGAAGATCACGAGGAGGCCATGGATGTAGACACGGTACCCAACACACATTATTGTCTCATTAACAACTTGAACAGATTAGTTAGAAACAGAAAAGGTAACACAAACATGTGTTTTGTTTGTAGAAAATGCTTGTGGTCTTACTCATCTCAGGAAAGGTTGGAAGCACACAAACAATATTGTTTTAAGAAAGCACAAAGAGTCATGTTACCTAAACCAGAGGAAGCAGTGTATGAATTCGGATTAAGATCACAAAGCAAAACTGAAAGAGCCAAGTTTTTGATTGTAGCCGATTTTGAAAGCTTGTTAGTGACTGAAGATGATGATTCTTCGCGTTTAAACCGTCATGTCCCTTGCGGCTATGCCTACAAGGTGGTGTGTACCCAGGAACAGTATTCCAAGCCCATTCGAACCTATATAGGTGAAAACGCAGCAGAACATTTCATCAACAGCATTTTGGAAGAATATGATACCATCATGAGCCTGTTTGATTCTGTCAAACACATGCAACTCACTAACCAAGATAAATTGGTCATTGCTAATACAGAACATTGTGGGTTGTGTGGAAAGCACTTAG